AATATAGGAAGGTTTGAGCAGTAAAGTCTCAGCAAAAACTCTCAATTGAATAAAGTTACTTAGCACTAAGCCCTATTTAATTCTATTATATTTGCATCCAGGAAAATTATTGATCGTTTTATATATTAATTTTATTCTCATTAATATTAGTAATCTTCTTTTTAAAAATCCTCTTTAAAAAATAATAGTACTGGTGATTTTTGGGGGGGGTTTCCAGATATCTAATAATACACATGCAAAAGAATGTTAGGACCACAAAGTCTAGAGAGAACCAGAGAAAAATTTGGATGCTGCATAGTAATCTTCTTTTTAAAAATCCTCTTTAAAAAATAATAGTACTGGTGATTTTTGGGGGGGTTTCCAGATATCTAATAATACACATGCAAAAGAATGTTAGGACCACAAAGTCTAGAGAGAACCAGAGAAAAATTTGGATGCTGCATAGATGATACAATGTGACTGAAGTCATACAGCCAGGAAAATCACCCAACAAAGCCATGGGATTATTATACTGAAAACACCATTACTATCACTTTGTCACTTGAGCTAGACAGCAGATTCACTGCCCTGGCAATCCAGAAGGACCAAATATTCATGTGTGTCTGCCATCTGATGATGCTCACTTCTATATCTAAGTCTTGTAAGGGTGTCTGAATAACGGAACCTACTCACGTGACTCCACCCTGATTGCAATAGAGTCTTGTATATGAGTTATTTGGTTTCCAATATCTACTATTAGGAGTGAAGCAAGGTAGAAATAGTAGGAATGATTGAGCCGACGTACAGTGTCCCACAGTCCACCTCTAGGTGAGCCGCTTAACATCCCTTATCATTCTTAAATTTTCAAGAAACGACACAAAAAACTTGCTTCTGTCTCATATAACCTCTCTTTATACAGGTAAATTGGACAAATATGTGTATCACCTGAAATTTTACTTATTGGGAAGATTCTTTTTCTACTCTCTTTCAGGGCCAACTATAAATGTAAGGTAACACTGTCAGGCTGGGTCACAGACCCCTCTGCTCCATCCTGTGCAGGTCCTGAGCCAGGTAGTTGAAAGAAAAACTGAGTAGCCACTGGCAAAGTGGACCTGCTTTATTCTTCAGACGCAAGCTCTGCCAACCAGCCGGTTCAGAGCCGTTGCCTTCCATACTGAAGAGACAGAAAAATGGCAACAAGCCAAGGCATGCATGCGCACTAACCCTACTCTTACGTAACTTATTTACAACCAATGTGCTGAATCATACCCAGCCGGATATGAGGCAAGGGGCCTGACTATACCGACTCCACTTTCCTCATGTTGGGAAAATAGAATAGTTTGGTCAGGGCCCTCACCTCAGGTCCAGTGGGGTGTGGTTCAGCATCCTTTGTAAGCAAATTGTGTGTGTGCATGTGTGTGTGGAGAGTGAGTGTGCATGTGCAGCAAGGTATCTTTTTAGTTTTGTCACTATTCTTGTGTTCTTGAGAGAGAGAGAGAGATGGGGATAGAGAGAGAGTGAGTGAGTGAGTTTGGTGAGGCAGGCGGGCCAGCATTGGCCTCGGGTGTCTGCCTGGTGCAGCCATGCTTTCCAACCTATGGCTCCAAGGACCTTTTGGCCGGTTACTTAGCTCATAGACCTGTGTGAAGGGGTCTGGTGACCCAGCCTGGCATGTGAGAGGTTTGGGGACCCAGCCTGGCATGTGAAGGGTTTGTGACCCAGTCTGTGAATGGGCTTGAGGGGTCTGGGGGCTCCAGACCCAGCCCTAGCTCAACCATCGGCCCCAGTTGGTGCAGGATTACTGGCAGGTAAAAGAGCCGTGACAACTAGCATGGTCACCTAGCTTTACAATTGGCATCACGAATAGGTTTAAGAGCCAGACACCTCACAAGCACCAGTTAACTTTTGAGTACTATTGGAATATCATGCACCTACTTTTCCCCTTTCAGTCAGCTGGTCATAGGAAACCATAAATGTAGGTTGAGGAAGTGATAGAAGTGTGATAGGAATATGCATGCTGGAGTATGGGTCACCTGCTTAGGCAACTTGAAGTTTTCAGGACCTGTTCAAACCCAGTCCTCTCTATAGCACTTCCATTTGATGATTATCTTCAGAATGCCTGACAATATTAGTCTGTGAAGAATGGCTCATGTTGCAAATCACATAGTATCACATGGTCTGAATTTTAGCCTCTATCAAAGCCCAGTAGTGAGCAAGAAACTTATGTAAAAGAAATATAGTTATAAACCGTATTATTTTCCTGTGGCTCCCATAACAAATTACCACAAACTGGGTGGCTTAAAGGAACAAAAATTTATTCTCTCACAGTCCTGGAAGCCAGAAGTCTGAAATCAGGGCCAGAAGTTTTGGCAGTATAGGTTCTTTTTGGAGGCTTGGAGGGAGCATTTGTTATGTGCCTTTCTTTTAGATTGCTACTCGCAATCTTGGCATTCCTTGGCTTGTATACATATTACTCTAGTCTCTGCCTCTGTCTTCACATTGCCACCTCCTCTGTGTGTCTTCTTCCCTTCTGTTACTTATAAGGACACTTGTCATTGGATTTAAGGCCCACTCTAATCAGTGTGGTGTCATTTCAAGATCCTTAGCTTAATTACACCTTGCAAAGACTCACTTTCCAAATAATATTACATTCACAGGTTCCCGGTGGACATATCTTTTGGGGAGGCCACATTCAACCCACTATGTATGCCAATGAGGGCATGTCTCTGCTTCAAAACCTTAGGGACCTCTGCTGTGATTCTCCTAAAGGTGCTTAAAACAGGCTCTATTTAATATTCACGTCTGCCACAGACTCTTTGTGTACTATTGTTTCTCCTGGCTATAAAGGAAAACCAATAGAACTGCTTGCACAGCGGCCTAGGTCAGCTGAGGAGGAGCCTTCTCTTACTCCGCCATCTCAGAAAGCGGGCAGCCTATGGTTTGTTCAGTAAAAAGGTCAAAGTAATAAAGCCATATGTAATAGATACTGCCTTCAAAATTGAAAGTGGTCTACCAAGTGTTGGTCTCTTGTCATTTATTATGGAGGAGGATATTTCTAGTGTGCTCTGGACTACCGGACCGTTA